TGAAGTTTTGGTAGGGAAGTTTCTTCAAGTCATTTCCATTTAATTTGTTTGGTTCCCTGTCTCTTTTTGAAGAGCTTAAATTTATATCAGAAATGTGCATGACTTGGTGAGTCTGCATGTTTAGCCAGTTGAGCTCCTGAAAGGCAATTTGACCATAGAAGTGTGGGCAGGGAGAAGCAGCTAGAGTGATAATCAAAATAACCAGATCATGCCCTAGCTGGTTTGGCTCAATGAAGCGTCAACCTGCGGGCTGAAGGGTCTCGGGTTCAAGTCCAGTCAAGGGCACATGCCCAGGTTGTGGGTTCGATCCCTCACAGAGGGCGTGCAGGAGGCAGCTGATCAATGATTCTCTCTCATCATTGATGTTTCTATCTCTCTCTCCCTCTCTCTTCCTCTCTGAAATCAATAAAAAATATATATTTTTTAAAATAACCAAATCACAGGGCCAGACCCTGCACAATCCACATGACACTGGGTAAGACTCTTCCCATTTCACAAAATATTTCATATTAGAAACATGTTGAGTACTTTGGGTATAATTCATTTTGCTTACTGCTCTGCAGCCATAGCATTTAAAATTTCATATTAAAATCATTATAAGTTGAGAATTTGAGTTACATGTTATTTTGCTCCCTGTTCTGCCACCATAATGTTTTGTAAGTAAAAGTCATACCTTCTAGTTAGGGGGGAAAAAACCAACAACTTTGTGTTAAACCACAATGGAGAAATCATGCAAGAGGCTATTCAGGCATTTTGAGGTTCCAGCAAGTGGCCTGACACTCCAATCCTTGACAGCTATGCTAGGTTATCACCACAAACTAGATTGCATAGTTATAAAGATTTATTTAAAGTCTTATGATCTTCCTTAAGTCAACATCTGTATACTCTCTTGAATAATATTTTGTAGTGGTTTAACATATTTAAGTTTTCCTAACAGTCATCACAATTATCTGACTCTTCAAGTCATGCTCTTAATGAGGTTGTTAGTGTTAAACCACACTATCTGTGTCCATGATATCTTTGGTTGCTTTGGACTGACAGTGCAGCAATAGTGAGTTATCATTTCCTCATGATAACCCAGTGGGGTCCTAAAGGCACAAATTATCCAGGAACACAAATAATTCCCCTGACACTGCCAAATATTCTTCCACACACATTTACTTCTTATAGTACAACAGAAATAGTAAAGATATTTGGTTTGTGTTATCATAATACTTCTTTTCTGTTTTTGTTCCCCTCCCCTAAATATGTTCCATTTCTCTGACCTTCTATATCTGATACCCATTATTTATTATGATTTGTATCTTGTGTCCATTCTAATTATCCACCCCTTTATGCTTAGCAAAGTAAACTTACCTGATCCCTTTCCTTTTTTGCCATTTTTTTTTACTTTATTTTTATTGTTGACACTGGTATAGATATTCCCCATTTCCTCCCCCCCTTTGCCCACCTCCATCTGCCATGTTTTAATCTAATCTAATCATTACCCTTTGCAAACACTTTATTCAAGCTATTTTGTGAAGTTTCTGAAGAGGATACAACAGGTGAGAACCATTTACTGGCCCTAATGAGTTATGGGATCTTCAAAATACTGCTTTTCTAGAAAACCAGGCAGCTAAAACCAGACCAGTGACCTAAGGATTTTTCCACCATGTTTTGTGTCTTGTTTGATGTCTTGTCTATATCCAGATGCATTAATTTAACATGTGCTAATTTAATAACTCTATAGTTAAATTAGGACTTCTTATCCCGTTTTCCCATTCTTCCTGTCTTATCTGTCTCTTACTACACACTTAGACAGATACTCAACTCTTTTTATTATTGAACCACTAAATATGGTTTAATATTTAGACAATCTAAGTTAATATCCTCTGATGCAAGTGACTCATGCATCTTTCTTAACTATGCTATATAGTGTGAGAAGAAGACAACTCAGCATCCTTGTCAGTGATTTGAAAGTTTTCTCTCCACTGAGATAATAAAGGTCTCAAACCTAGAACTGTCTTCCTGCCTGCTTATATGAACACTTCAGAAATGCAACTCTGTCATAATGCCTCCATAACAAACTCTTAAAGGCCGGGCATTTGGGTTCTGCTATCAGAAATCATTACCTACTCATCAAAGGTGTCCTTTATTCAGATTGGTCACTGGAATAATTTTTTAAGTACCCTGACCCTTCTGTTATATGTCTCTGAAAGAATGTTGGATTCTTTCTTTAGAGACCCCAGGGCAGACATGTTTATTTGTCTTCATTTCTTAATTACAGGAAGAGTTGTGTCATACTGCAGATCTGTTTATCTAACCTGAATAGTCAGGTGACAGGAGATAGGAGTCATGTTTACTAGTTCATTCTAATAATGCATGGAGTTGTGAGGGCCTCATCAACTTTATTTACATTTTATATTGTTTTTAAGCTCAACATTATCTTTTCTTACAATGATTCTGTTTTCTTTTTATTATTATTTTTCAATTACAGTTGACATCCAATATTATTCTGTATTAGTTTCAGATGTACAGCAAAGTGGTTAGAAAGTCAAGTACTTTACAGAGTGGTCCCCTCTGGCTTTAAGTACCCACTACATAGTTATCTCAATATTGTTGACTGTATTCCATATGCTGTAATCTACATGTCTGTGGCTATTTTGCAACTACTAATTTGTATTGCTTAATCTCTTAGCCTTAGAGAACAAATGCTCAGAATGATCCATTGGCAGTTTAAGGCAATAGAAATCTAAAACTTAATTTTAATTTCTTGAGCATTTTGTGAGCAAAAAGCTCAACAGAAGAGAATAGAAAAATTTTCCATATTGAATTAGCAATTGCAAACAACAAATGCACAAGAACAAGGAGTTGCCATTTTTAAATGAGATGGAATGAAACTGGCATTTTTCTGCATAACAAATGTTTTTCAGCCCCTCTCCAGGAATAGCTATATCTGAAAGGGAAAGTACTGCCAAGTCCTGTGAAACAAAGACACATGTCATAACTACCGTATAGCCAAGTGAATGCTGTCATGCAGATATTGTTGGTGCAAAAGAATAGTGCAGAAAAAATTTTTTTTAACTTTGTGAGGGAATGTGAAAGATAGAGAGTTCATATATAACTAAGGTAGTTACTAATGAAGATGGTTGCAGTTCACCAATATGCTCACCATCAGGGACATGAGATTAAGCAATATTCACTCTGACGTTACATTCACCAATGTCCTCAAAATCTGAAGATGAATGATATATCATCCTTGACTCTACCAAAGAGACAGGATTCCAAGCCCAGGAGTCAGCGAGTTCTGGTGAAAAGAGAATACTTCCTTCTGTTTGGGAGTCAGATAGAGACTTTGGCTTTGATTTTGTCTTTCCCTCTTCACATCTTTGTGACCTTGCACATGAGAAGTGCCCATTTCATCACTCCTTTGCTAACTCACCATTGTATCATTTCATTGTTTCTTGGTAAGTCAAATTAGGTAGAAAAATAAAATCTTGTGTATATTTGCATATCTTTGATTATTAGGGAAGGTCATTACTTTTTATGTACTGCTTGGTTTTAATCTTTATTTGAATGTTTGAGTTTTGAAGAGCCCCTATGAATAACAACTCCCTTTCTCCACTGAGCAAATTCATATGAAACAAATAAGTTGCAGATAGAAGCCAAGGTCTTAGCTTTTGCACAAGGGAATGCTCAGTTGGACAATGACTATCCTGAGATTCAAGTGGTGCAAAAGATTCAAGTGGGTCTTATAACATCAAATTTAAACAAATCTACCAAATAGCCTAGAGACTTGTAAATGTACAAAAAGAACAGAGTTACCTGTAATTGTACTACATGAGTTTGCTCACAGAGAATATCCATAGCAGGGAAGAATTATGCCTTCAGAACATTCTGAATTGACTATGGATGTCCTTTACTCATTTTTAACTTTGCTATTTATTTCTTAACAAATTGTTAAGAGCTACTTTAGAGATTTTTTTTAAAAATTAAAAGGTTTTGTCAAGTTCTTCTGTTTTTAACTTTGGTTAACTGTATTTTTACCACAGTTTTTTTCAATTTCAGTATATTTAGATATCCATTTTCTATAAAGATTTTGAGTGATGTTTTTTGTTTAGAAATTACTTTGCTTGAGCCCTAACCGGTTTGGCTCAGTGGATAGAGCATCGGCCTGCGGACTGAAAGGTCCCAGGTTCAATTCTGGCCAAGGGCATGTACCTTGGTTGCGGGCACATCCCAGGTGGAGGGTGTGCAGGAGGCAGCTGATCGATGTTACTCTCTCATTGATATTTCTAACACTCTATCCCTCTCCCTTCTTCTCTGTGAAAAATCAATAAAATATATTTAAAAAAAGAAAAAAAGAAATTACTTTGCTTGAAAAAAAACTATGAAAACTATGAAATGTTCTGAAGGATGAATGAGATAAACTGAGTAAAAAGAGAGGCATATCATGTCCTAGGGCCAGAAGAATTAAAATTGTAGCTACTTAATTCTCCACAAAATAATGCATCAATTTACTGCAATCACAAACAAGAACCTAGTGAATCTTTTTTTTTACATTTTTTATTTAAATTTTTTAAATTTAATGTTATTTTGTATTAGTTTCAGGTGTACAGCATAGGGTTACACAATAATATACTTTACAAAGTGTTCCCCCTGATTCTTGAGCAGCTGTGTCTTAACATCTTTTGTAAAATAGTGTCGAAAGGGCAAGAAAAATATGTAAGAGATATTTTTAACTAGGTCTTTATTGTATGATAAAGGGTTTTGCTACTTCTTTTCAGGAAATCACCTACCCCTGTGTTTTGAATGGAAATTAAAGAGATACATGTTGCGATTTCGCTTTGAAGTCCTTTAAAAATGACCGTTTTTCCCCTTTAAGTGAATTTCAGTTGACTTGGCGATTCTCCTCCCTCTAATTTAGGGAAAGGCCCCCTGCTTTCCCCATCACAGGGAGGGGGCGGAGCATTCTCTCCGAAGCTTGGAAGTGAGCTGTTCCTGGCCTGTCTTGGGGGAGGGGCTGCATTTCATGAGGCTGCAGCTGACAAGAAGCTTCAAGGTAATGGCTGTCTTAAAGCGAGTTATTTTCTGGGAATTTCTTCGGGCTTTGGTATTACGATGGGAAAAAAAAAACTGTTGTCAGCAAGAGGTGGGAATGAAATAGAGTTTGGGGGGAATTGCTGTTATTGTGACAGACTTAACCCCCTGAAAAATTAGTTTCTCCCGATATTTTTTGAAGTCCACAGTGTGGGAATGGGCGATCAGATTACAGCTTCTAAATTAAGACTTTAGTGAGGCATGCTGTTCATGTTAATTTTTACACGACATCCCATGTTTCTATCTTCATTAGAGAGTTTATTATATTTTTATTTAAACATTTATTATTCTACACAAAGATAACTGATAGAAAAATGTAAACAAAAAGTGATTAGCACATACAAATAGAAATATAAATGTACACGAACATAGAAGGGATCCAGATATGCTGTTGAGTGATAGCATTTGTAAAAAATATATACATTTTCCTTAGTCAGGGAACTAGAATGCCCTCTTCACAGTCAGCATCTCTAAAGCATTCATATTACTGGAGGTTTCAAAATATATTTTAACCAGTTTTAGCATTTTTCAAGTTGTTTTATTTCGTGATCATTTTTTTTTATCACTAAAAGTGCAAGATGAAGCTGAAACAGTGCACCTATTTGGTTTTAGACACATAAACATTCATAGACACACATACACACAGACTTGAAAACATACCCCCCTTGTCTTTTGCCAATAGTGGAAATTTTCCTGGACCTGATCAAGCGCATAACCTGGTTGCTGTGTTGGCTATAGCCCTGCGTGTGTCCTCCTTGCAACTCATTCTTTCAGACTCACAGGTATGGTATAGCCCTTGTGAGCAAAATAAATAAATAAATAAATAAATAAATAAATAAAATCTTCCTATATCTTTTAAGTTTAAGAGTGAGACAGAGAAAGGATCTGGTTCATTTTTATTAGCAGTTTAAAAAAATATTATGTGGCATGGTGCAATGCATACAATTGAATGTTATATAGCTGACAAATGGAAGTATGAACATATAGTAATTTGAAAAGATGTCTGAAAAATTGTATTAGGTGAAAATTGTAGAATGGCAAGTACCACATATGTCATTTAAAGATAAAGTACTGTGTTAATGAAATTTGTGTAACAAAATAAGAAAAAATATAAGGATACCTATTAATGGGATTGTTTGTGTGGTTGGAGAGACAGGAAACTTTACTATTTATTTAAAAATAATTCTTAATATATATTTAGTCATTTCTAGAAGATTATCACAAAAATTGGCATAAAATGTTTCAAATTAGGGGGAATTATATTTGAACTGATTTGTTAAAAATTACATTGAAAATACGTATTAATATGGAAAATACTTTCAAACCATGGGCTTGAACACAGTAAAATGGTGGTCTGAAGTTACATGCATTCGTGTATATGTGTAAAGAAAAAATATGGAAAGGTACTCAGAAGACAATAATATTGATTATTTTTTCCAGAATTATACTTTTTTAAAAATAAATCTTTATCTTTTCAATTTTCACAAGCATGCCATTTTCTTTTTATCAGACCATTGGAAGTATAGACATTAGCATTCCATTTTTTGTGCAATGCATAACAAAACTATAAATTTGAGCATGGTATATTCTAGAAGCCTGAGAAAATTGCTGTCTTGGCAGGATGTAGTTCCCAACCTTCTCCCATAAAGAGCTGGTAGTAACAGGGTGTAGTTCTGTAATTGGTCACAAGATGGCACCTGCCAGATTTTCCAAGTTTTCTCTAGGCAACTATTTTATGAATTGAGCAAACAAATTAGGGGGGGAATTATATTTGAAGTTATTCATGAAACATATTTTATATTAGCAGACTATGAAATGACATGTAGAGTGTGACTACAGTTCTGTTTACAAATTTGTACATGTCTAGAATAAAAATCCCCACACTAGGACTGATGGGAGAACTAAAAGAAAAATAAAAGCCTTAAAAATATATCTACATCAAATTGGGCCTACAGAGCACGCAAGGCAGTTATTATTTCCCTGCTTCCTATCCCCACCTCACACTTTTCCTAAGAGAAATGATTTCAGCATGAACCAATTAACCAAACATGTGACCAAACTGTGTCACAGAGAGCATTTCAAATAATAAAAACAAAAAGGAAAATAAACATGACATCTACATCACAGATGAGATTTTTATCTCCTCCCTGTGTTTCAGAATGACATGCCTGCTGAAGTTTTCTTTTTTGGGGGGGCCCGAGGGGGGGTAAGGAAGTTTCTCCACACCATTTCCATTGAATTGTTTTGATTCCCTGCCTCTTTTTGGACAGCCTAGGTTAATATAAGAGATGCACATTACCTGGTGAATCTGTATGTGAAGCTAGTTGAGCCCCAGAAAGGCAGTGCAACAACAGAAGCCTCAAGCAGGAAGAAGGCCCTGCTGGACAAGCAGCCGGAGTGAGAATCAAAACAACAGGATCACAGGGACAGACTCTCCACAATCCATGTGACATTGGTAAGGCTTTTTCCATTCCATGTTAAAACATGGTTAAGTTGAGACTATAGAGTACAATTTATTTTGATTCTGGCTTAGTAGCCATAACATTTAAAATTAAAAAAAAACTTGGATTCTAGAGTTAGGAAAGAATTAAATATGTTAAACTCCTATAAAGAAATTATATGAATGGGTATAATGATGTCTACTTATGGAAGACTTGTAGGTAACAGCCAACTGCCTGATTGAAGAAATCCTTGAAAAGTACCCTATTCAATAGGTAGCCATTGTGTCCAAATATCTGGCCACTAAGTTCATCCTCTTAATGAGGTAATTGTGGTGTTGTCTGAGTGGAGACACTAAGCCCAGTATCTGTGGTTGCCTTGCGTAGATAGGGCAGTTTTAAGAAGTTAAAAGATTACTTGAGAATAAATCTTGAGAGGCTCCAATGTATTAAAGTATCCAATAACATAAATGATGTCCCCCTGACGTACTCACCAACATCTCCGCTCTTCCAATCTCCTACACACTCATTTCTTATACTTAATAGCTATAATAAGGCCTGCATACTGGGGTATTACGTAACTACTTCTCATTCCTTTAATTTTTAAATATTTTTCCCCAACCACAATGTTTCTTTGGTGCTCAGTATTTATTAACCTTATTGTATATAGTCTCTATTTTCATTGTTCATGTTTAACAGATGAAATTGCTTTACTAATTCTCTTTTCTCTTTACCTTTTCTTTAAGTGAGTATCCTCTAGTATCATCAATTCAAAATTATTTTAAAGCTTCCTTGCAAGTTTTAAGGAGAATGTATATAAACACAAAAGGAGAAACTATTAGTAACCCTAAGACCTCTAACATTTTTTTTGTGTGTGGTTAACAAGGCAGTTAAACACAGAACAATGACCTAAAGATTTTTCTAGATGATTCAGATTTCACTGATTGATTTCTAGTCTATATCCAGATGTACCAATCAGATCTTCAGTGGTTCATTTTGAATTTCTTTTCTTCTTCCCCCCTTCCCTCTTACATTCATATATGTTTTTATTATACATTTAGACTATTGCTGACCTTTTAAAATTTATTTTAATCTTGTAATATATTTCGATATCAGTATACCAGTTGTCTCTCCAGTCAGCTAGTAAATTTAGAACTTGGTCCCAAATCCATGTTTGTATATCAATCTATTTGAGAAATTCTAACATATAACCTTGCCATAATGCTGTCTGAGAAACTCTGAAGTTTAGACACTGTGTCTTTAACAGTTTAAGAATCTTGAAATATGAATTCAAAAGAATATATGCACCCCTATGTTCATTGCAGCATTATTTACAATAGCTAAAGTTTGGAAGCAGCGCAAGTGTCCATCAGTAGATGAGTGGATAACAAAAAAAACTGTGGTACATTTACACCATGGAATACTACTCAGCTGGAAAAAGAAGGAAATCTTACCCTTTGCAACAGCATGGATGGACTTAGAGAGCATTATGCTATAAAATAAACCATTCATAAATTCATAGAAAGACAAGTATCATATGATTTCACTCATATATGGAATCTAATGAACTAACAAGCAAAGTAGAGACAGACTCATAGATAGAACAGGGTGATAGCTGTTGGTGGTAGGGATTAGGGGGCTGGGTGAGAGGGTGGAGGGACTGAGCAAAAAAGAAAAAAGAGAGAAAAGTACATGGAGGGAGTGGGAAGACTAGAAGGGGTCAATGGGGAAAGGGGGTACATCTGTATAACTTTCAATAATAAAGATAAATTTTTTAAAAAAAACTCATGGACATGGACAACAGTATGTAATTACCAGGGGTTGGGGTGGAAGAGGATATAGGGGGAGACATGCTGATGGATGGAGATTTGACTTGGGGTGGTGAACACACATATAGCGTACAGGTGATGTGTTGTGGAATTGTGCACCTGAATTCTTTATAATTTTGTTAACCAGTGTTGCCCCAGTAAATTCAAGAAAAGGAAAAAGAAAAAAAGAGTAAAACAACTATAATCTCACATCTTATCCTGGTATATGGGCAATATGGTAATGAAGTAAAGTAATGGGGAAATTTCAATTAAAAGAAAAACAGTTTCTTATAACTCCTCACTAAAGAACTGATAAGTACCTTTATTCAGAGTGGTGAGGGGAAGAATTTTGGTCCAGCCTGGATCTTTTCTATGGGTATCACAGAGAATGGCTGTGGGCATGAGGGGGAAGGAGGACAAGAAGGAAGTCCCTTTTTCTTTAAATTCCCCAAAACAGTTCCCATAGAGGTCAATCTCTTTATTTGTTAATCCAGGGAAGAACACTACAGTTTAATCTCTCTAATTTAATACTCATAGTGCAGTAAAGCTTTGTTTGCTGTGTGCTGTGATGATGAAGTTGTAAGGTCCTCATCAGCCTTTCTTTTCTTTTGTTTACTTTAATGTTTCCCATTCCATCATTCTGAATCTTAATTTTTAGCAGCTTCATCCATTGGCACTGTGTAGGCTTTAGAATTACTAGAACACAAAATCTCCAAACATGGCAGGTTTATCTTCTTGTGACGTCTAGGTCACTGGTAGGTATTATTTTTCTTTTCCCCTCTCTTCATGTCCATACACATTTGAACAGAGATTATATGTCCCTCCTGCCCTGGCAGTGATTCACTGTCTGACTTGCCTTTTTCCTATGGTGGATGCTCATCCTTAGTAAGTTTTATTCTGAGGTTCTTCCTCTTCAGGTAGGCTGATTTTCAGCCAGTGAACATTAATAAGGTTTCAAGTTTGTTTATAGCCAGTTTTAGTTACTTGTGCCTATGCCTTAGGGGTCATGGACTATTTTTTAATAACCCTAAGATATAAGATTCCTTGCTTTACAATTATCATGGCTCCCTCATGATAAAAGTATTCTAACTAGACCATTTCTACTCTTTCATATGGATGTTATACACTAAAAAATATATCATTAAAATAAATGGTTTATTCTATAACATTGTCTCTCATATGATATTTGACTTCTGCTTTCTCACTGGGAACATATTCTTAACCTGAACTCTATCTCCAGATTACAGCACTTTGGCTTCAACTCCTTCCTATTCTTTTGCTCACATGGTTGAGTGGCATGTGAGAACTTCACTGTATTTAAAGGTTCTGCTAATGAGGATAATTTTCACAAACTATAAGGTGCTGATGTCATTTAGATTTTTGACATTTGTCTTGTGTTAATGAACTTTCAATGAAAGAGATACTTACTGAAGATAATTTATAGAAAGAATTATATAACTGCATCAAAAGTCAGGTGTCTTAAGTACCCACTTAACATTTTAAAGCAAATTCAGAAATAGATGTTAATAAAAATTAATTAGAGAGATTAAAAATGAATATCTAATATATTCTTTGTATACTCCAAAGAATATTTTTCACACATTCGTTATGGTACCCCTGACCTGTTTTGGCAATCATTGATCCAAACTGCAAGTCAATATTTCTATATGTAACCCTATTACTCCCACAGTAAAATACAATTTTTTATATAGGTAATATTCTGATTCTGGGTGCTTTTTCTAACAGGATAATTGAGGTAAAATTGACAGAGTTAAATTCACCCTTTTAAGTGTATAGTTTGATGAGTTTTGACAAACGTATATAGTCATGTAACAACAAATACAGGCATACCTCAGATATATTGCAGGTTCATTTTCAGACTACCACAATAAAGCAAATATAAAGAATCACACAATTTTTTTGTTTTCCTACTGCATATAAAGTTATATTATGCTATATTGTAGTCTATTAGGTATGCAATAGCATTATTTCTTTAAAAGACTATGTACAAACCTTAATTTAAAAATCTTTATTAGCCCTAACCAGTTTGGCTCAGTGGATAGAGTGTCAGCCTGTGGACTAAAAGGTCCCAGGTTTGATTCCTGTCAAGGGCATGTACCTTAGTTGCGGGTACATCCCCAGTAGGAGGTGTGCAAGAGGCAGCTGATCAATGTTTCTCTTTCATCAATGCTTCTAACTCTCTATTCTTCTCCCTTCCTCTCTGTAAAATATCAATAAAATATATTAAATAAATAAATAAAAATAAATCTTTATTATAAAAATTGCTGACCATTATCTGGCCTTTAGTTAGTCATAATATTTTCACTGGTGGAAGGTCTTGCCTTGATGTTGACAGCTGCTGACTGATTAGGGTAGTGATTATTACAGATTGGGGTGGCTGTGGCAATTTCTTAAAATAAGACATACCTTCCTCACTAAGGTTAATCATTTCTAACATATGATTGAAAGTGAGAGATGTTCAGCTCTTACTGTTGAAAACTTAGAGACCATTGTAGGATTATTAATTGGCCAAATTTCAATATTGTTGTGTCTCAAGGACTAAGGAATCTTGAAGAGATGGAGAGAGACAGGAGGATGGCAGGTCGGTGTAGCAGTCAGAATACATACATTTATCAACTAAGTTCCCTGTCTTAGATGTACATGGTTTGTGGTGCCCCAAAACAAACACAACAGTAACATCAAAGATCACTGATCATAAGTCAACATAAAAATATAATAAAAATGAAAAAGGTTGAAATATTGGAAGAATTACCAAAATGCGAAACAGACAAAAAGTGAGCAAAGGCTATTAGAAAAATGGTGCTAATTGACTTTCTAGCCACAATCCTTCAATGTTTAAAAAACATGATAAAAGGAGGTATGCCTATACAGTCAAATTATAGAATATTTCCATAACTCCAGAATGTTCCCTCTGATCCATTGGAATGAATACTCTCTATATCCAGATTCTTGACCACCATTGATCTAAATTATGTCCCTTTAGTTTTTCATTTCCAGAATGTCATAAATGGAACCATACAATATATAGACAATCTTCGAGTTACTTCAGACTCGACGTACTTTGTTTCATGGTTACGTCGCCATCTCTCATTTATTTATAAAAAAAAGTTCCATCGTTTTGACATATGTGCTTTATGTTTTTTATTATTTATTTACCACAAGTAAAGGTCAGACATTGTTATCTTTCT